AGGTGGTTATGCTCATAAGCTGATTTCTTGGCTATGTTCATGGACGAATTAGTTGGCTATGCTCATAGTCTAATTAGTTTGCTATGCTCATTAGTCTAATTTGTTGACTATGCTCATTGGCTAATTAGTTGGCTATGCTCGTAGGCTGATTAGTTGGCTATGCTCATAGTCTAATTAGTTGGCTATGCTCACAGTCTAATTAGTTGGCTATACTCATAGTCTAATTAGTTGGCTATGCTGTATTCCACACCATCTACAAGTATTAATACTGTACCCGCTGCCTTTCTATGTTTCTGTGTGCTCTGCCGCACATACGGTCTCCACATACCGTGTCTGTTGATGGCAGGCAAGTACAAAACACTTACAATACCTGTACAGGCACAAATCACGATCAAATGATCGACATGCTGATGTGTAACTGTATTCCGTTTCACACATGCGGATACTATCCTGAGCTTCGTAGCAGCAATGATTGGCATCCTGATGTGTATCTATATTTCTTTTCTACTATTCAAACAGACGGATAACATTCTAGACTTCGTATCCAAGCACACATCCATCAAAGACGTGTACCATGTGCTCAGTCCTCCGGGGCATCCGAGCTGCAAATCCAACGCAAAAGAAAAGAATTTCAACTACAAGGACGAATGGTCGTGGGACAAGACGCTCAAGTAAGACGTGTATGTTAATGATACTCGAGCTGTTTTTCTTTAGAATCCATGATATATAGACGTTTGGATGTATATGAACAGTATGAATGTATATGGAAAGTATGAATGTTTATGAACAGTATGAATGTATATGGATAGTATGAATGTATATGAACAGTATGAACGTACATGAACAGTATGAATGTATATGGAAAGTATGAATGTATATGAATAATATGAATGTATATGGAAAGTATGAATGTATATGAACAGTATGAATGTATATGGAAAGTATGGATGTATATGAACAGTATGAATGTATATGAACAGTATGAATGTACATGGAAATTTTATATGAAATACCTATCTGACCAAAGCCTGTATCGTTTACATTTATTCTGCGCCATACATAAACCAGAGTGCAAATGGACTACTGGGGAATTAACAACATTGACCGTGTCCGTGCGAAGTTCCCACGTATCCGTACGATAGAGTTTGTGGATACGTTTCAGGCGACTGACCCAAGACCTGACCTGCACTCGGAGGAGGACTGTCTGCACTACTGCCACGTAGGAGTGCCGGATGTGTGGGCTCAGTTTGTACTGGAGTATATGCAGGCACATACGAACAACTAGTGATGATACCTGATTAGGCACACACAAACGATATAGATGCACAGCGATATGTGGTATATACGTATTACGTATATAAGAGGGTGGACGGCAACTCAGGCTCTAGGGGTGATCACACGCGGCAAACGTACCGTACTTTGCAGTAGAGAATAATATACTGGCGTTTGGGAACAAGTCCTGGGGATACGTTGACACATTGCTTCATCAGGTACACGTTGACACTCAGCGTGTGTGCATGTACGAAGACTACTTGCACCACAGCCGTGTGGGATCCGCATGCCCGCGGGGTTTATACGAGCTTGAGGGCATTCGTATTCTGGAGCTGTCACATAGATGGAAGCTATCAAATCGTATACACGGAAGACAGACACTTGCTAGTATCTGGCCTGTATGCTGATAAACGTTTTTTACGCCTTACTAGTATCTGGCCTGCATGCTGGCAAACGCGTTGTACGCCGTACTAGTATCTGACCTGTATGCTGATAAACGTATTGTACGCCTTACTAGTAACTGGCATGTATGCTGGTAAACGTATTGTACGCTTTACTAGTATCTGGCCTGTATGCTGGTACACGTATTGTACGCTTTACTAGTATCTGGCCTGTATGCTGGTAAACGTATTGTGCGCCTTACTAGTAACTGGCATGTATGCTGGTAAACGTATTGTACGCTTTACTAATATCTGGCCTGTATGCTGGTACACGTATTGTACGCTTTAATAGTATCTGGCCTGTATGCTGGTAAACGTATTGTGCGCTTTACTAGTATCTGGCCTGTATGCTGGTACACGTATTGTACGCCTTACCAGTATCTGGCATGTATGTTGGTAAACGTATTGTACGCCTTACTAGTATCTGGCCTATGCGTATCAGCCTAATACTGTCTTCGGGAAGATGCGCTCTCTGTGTACGTAGGTCCGTACTGATACATACCAAAAACGAGAGCAGTTGTTGGCAGCTAAGCAATATTGAAAGTAATGGTAGACATAGAGCACCCATGCATGAACCGCAAATATTTCGATGGGTAGCAAAAGTAATATTAAAACCAATGGGAGACATAAGGCACACATGCTATAGTACACATATATTTACTTTTATATATATACATACTCGCTTTGTTTGAATATATTTTTTTTATTATATATA